CCCAACCCCAACCCCAACGGACTCTTCTTTTTTCTTTGTCCTGCTAATTTTTCCTTCCCTGTTCCCTGACTCCCCATTCCTGCCAATTGTTCCTTCCCTGACTCCCCCCTCCGGCTGTATCGTTCCAGCCTTAGTTTTAGCTTCACGTGCTTATGGTTTGGAAATTATGAAACTTGGGCGATCGAAATAATGCTTGAAATATATTTATATAAATAATTAAATTAATAACTTAGCATCCCAGCCATTCAATTTTTCATCCGTCATTTTATGTTCTGCTAAGTGGAAAATCGGAATTCCATTCCTGGGTCATGCAATAGTGCATCGACAGCAAAAATCAAATTAAAAATTTTAGAAAATTTTAATCAAAACAGAAACTAATTCCATAATTTACTTATCTTTAAGAATTGACATAAATTTTCATATAGCAAAGAGTAAAATGGAATTAAATATTTTTTTATAATTTTTGAAAAAGTTAAATTCTGGTATAAATTATTGGGGCATTCTTGCATTCATACTTTATCAAAATTAAAATATTACACCCTCTTCTAGATATAAGATTCAACTACTTATCAATACTAAAAGTAAAATAAAGTAGACATTTATCATGCACCACCAAGAACATAAACAAAATGGATACTAACGATAAGCATTCTTCAACAATCAAAAAAGTCCTTGATGGTCCTAAATATAATTTATTAAGTATAAAAAATTTATGTGATAAAAGTTCAATTTTTTATTTATTCATCACATTACTTAGATTAAATGGAATTATCATGTATATTGGTCGCAGGCATAACAATAGAATGTTTATTATTTTGAAAATTTAGAGGCATAGTTTTGCATGTTTGAAATCTCCCATAAAAAAAACTTGGTTGTTGCATAGAAAATTGTCATGCCAAACAAAACTAACGATAATAATTGTTCACCAAAGCTTGAACATAACAGAGATCACTTATGTGTAACGCATATCAATAAAGTAAACACTGATTTTTTTCCCAAAATAAAAAAAAAATTATTTACAATCATGCTACTTGAGTATTTTATATATGAATTTATTTAGACCAATTAGCACCATTGTTTAATTGGTAGAAGTTATGGGTCCTTTTTTAGGCAAAATATTATAACTGAAAAACTAGATGAGAAGAACAAAGGCAATTAAAAAAAAATTACCAACAAAAGAACAAAAATGCACAAAGTCAAGAAAACAATAGCATGACCTGTGTTTTCAAAGCCATTTCTAGGGAGCGGGACGAGCAAGTTCGCCCCAAGCCAACGAAGGGGGCGCAATTAGAAGCAAGGTTGTGCCATAGAACCAGTGAATTAGTCTGATTTTTAAAGAACCGGCCGGTTCAAATATAATTTAATTTTAGCATTTTGATTTTGATCGGATGCCAGAAATAAGATATTTATATTTAAAAAAAAGAGAAAATATCATATCTTAAATTTTCTTATTTATAATATTATTCAAAATATTCAAAAGTAATGTCTTAAATTAAAATATTATTTGTTGAATCGATAAAAAATATATTAATATATAATTATTCTATTATTTAAATTTTAATAAAATAATTTAAATATTTGGTGCGTCATCCGATTCAACCTTCGGTTCAATCTCGGTTGAACCATTGAACCTTGAACCTTTACTTCTTCCGATTAGATGTCCGGTCCAGTTTTCACAACTATGGTTAGAAAATATTGGAAAGTTGAAGATTCACGAAAGCACACTTGCAAAAGCAAAACCAGTTGTTAAATTTATTTACGAGCATGCATGGGTTCTTGGCTTGATGAAATCTTTTACAAAGGAGAGATAACTCGTTCGTCTAGTCATCATCACATGGTTTGCTACTGCATATTTGACCTTTTAAAACATTTACAAACAGAAGCAATTATTTTAGACAATGTTCTCAGAGACTTGGTGTTCTAGTTAATGGGTTAAGAAGACATAAAGTATAAAAGCTCG